TAATAATTGAAGGTGTGTTTACAGCAAAACACCCCTATGTTACATAATAAAGCAGTCTACTGTGGAAAACCTGACCATTTAAAGTTAAAAACTGAGCAAAAAGTTGAAAATGGCAAATCTGAGCAGTCTCTACTTAGAGTTCATAAAGCGTCCAATTTAGAGTGTAAGAACCGTTTAATTTCGCGTTTAATTCACGGAGATAATAAATAATTATGTGGTTTTGGGTTTTCTGGATTTCGATGATAAAAACTGACTTTCGTTGTAGATTGTCCCTTTAATACACTTTTTTCTTAGCGACATTTTTTCCGAAAATGTCCTTTTCAGCGACCTTTCGATATTGGAAAGTTCACTATTCTCCCCTGCTTCGGTGAAAACAGTTTTAAACCCAAATAATATGATTGAAATTATTGAAAATGTATCAACGGGAAACCAGCAATAAACCCAACTAACTAAAGCTAACCAATACTATAATAATATAATAATCAACCCAAAGCTAATAAAAAATAACCCAAATAAACCCAATAAACTACATCTACATGTCTACTAAATACTGTAATATACATGTGGCCACATGCATTAAAATGCTGATTTCCTGTTGATAACGCACTGTGTCGCAGATAGATTGTATCAGCAAGTTATTTTATAAAGTGAAGAACAGTGAACTTTCGAGCGTCAAAAATTTGTCGAAAAGGGAATTTTTGGAAAAAATGCCACTAAGAAAAAGTATTAGTTAAGGGAAATTTTACAGTAAAAGAACATTTTTTTCTTCAAAATCCTAAAAGATCCGAACTAGATTATTTGCAAGAAAAACACCATGACACCAACAAATGACACAAATTGTCTAACAGGACAATGAAAAGTGTAGTTCAAAGCACAACACACTTGCTTTATATATACCTTCTCTATTTTCAAGTAAAAAGCTTCCACAGTAGAACACCTGACTAGTTAAAGTTGAATAAATGAGAGCAAAATATTTCGGTTTCGATACATCAAACGATCCCTGTTCGAAAAAATAAAATCCATTTAAATTAGAGTGTAATTAACAGAAAAAAAAACATGGATAACAACGCAATCTTTCTTACACGAGATTAAAAAGTGTAGTTCACAGCAGAACACAATCGCTTTATATTTACAATTTAAATTTTCAAGTAGAAAGCTTCCACAGTAGAAAACCTGGCAAGTTGAAGTTGAATAAATGAGAGCAAAATATTTCGGGTTTGATACATCAAATGATCCCTGTTGAAGAAATAAAATCCGTTTAAATCAGAGTGTAATTAGCAGAAAAAAAAACATGGATTACAACGCAAACTTTCTTACACGAAATTAAAAAGTGTAGTTCACAACAGAACACACTCGCTTTATATTTCCATTTTAAAGGTTCAAAGAAAAAGTTTCCACAGTAGAAAACCTGGCTAGTTAATGTTGAATCACTGAGTGAAAATGATTTCAATTCGAAAAATCAAGCTGAATTATTGATTTTTGAAACCGTTTGAATTGGGGTATAAACCACAGAAGAAAGCCAGTAAAAAATAACAAAAATTGCCTAATGCGACAAAAAAATTGTGAT